GTAAACCTATAAGTTTTTATCTTTTCAAACTTACAGTATAACTGAGCTTAGAAGAAATATCAAGGCGAGTAAAGCAAATACATCTGAGTGTGATTGGTAGAAAAAAGATTTTGTTTATTGTCTTTGTTTCTGTCTCTCTCTCTCTCACACACACACACACACACACACACACACACACACACACACGGCTTGCTCCATGGTTCCTTCCTGGTTCTAAGAGAATACTTTCCTAAAAAAAGTGATATTATAAAATTACTTAAATCAACTTGGTTTATTAGTAATGTAGTTCAAGTTTAAAACTTCATTGGAATTAGGTCAACCTCAAACAATGTCTGGGAAAGCAAACAAAAAAACAAAACTCTCTTTACCCATGGGAACCAAAGGACTCTCCTTCAGGTGTGGAGTAGAACAGTAGGTAATAAAATTGAGATTGTGATCCCTTATGATTTTAAAAAATTGAATTCAACCGATCTTCAATTCAATCAGATTAATTTAAAAGAAACTGAAGGACTTATTTGGAAAGATTCTAGATACCACAGAGAAGTACAGAAATACCTCCAAGCCTTCAGGATGAAATCAATAAATTTTTACAACTAAGGAGTTTTTCATGTTGTGCCTTTCATGTGTTCTTTCTTCTTTTCTGTTAATTTCCTTCTCTCAGCCATTTTCCAGAATGAGAACTAGGCCATTAAGTCTGGGGACCACATCTCTTTAATAGTGGAGCCATAAAGAAAAAGAACAAAAGTGGCTTCCTTGTTTGCTTCATCAGGAATGGTCCTGGGCAAGGACTCTGACTGGTTTGGTTTTGATCATCATCTTCGGTCCAGTCACTACCGCCAGAGAATGGAGATGCTACATTCATTGCAGACTGAGACTAAATACTGTGACTATTCATTTATGAGGAGAGGAGACAGGCACATTGAATAGACAAAAGAAAATAAACAGAGGCTCTAGAGATATTCCAAATGATAACTATTTGGGGCAGTGTGCTTATGTTAAATATTTAACAAACAGATTTAAATATCTCATTCCCAAGTGGGCCCTGCCTCTTATAATGGAAGTCTACAACCGGATTTCCAAATTGTTTTTGTTCCTAATAACAATCAAAATTATTTGAGGCTGCTTCATAATTATTTAATTTTTTTGATTTGTTAAATTTCAATACAGTTTGATATTTGAGGCAGATACTGCAGTTGGCTCACTCAGCATCTCTTCCGACCTCCTTTGGTATGCGTCCCACTACTGCAGTGTGGTAGGCAAGCACTTTATTTTATAGCCTCTTTGCTTGTGGATTCTGGATGTGCTTTAGTTTCTGCCAAACAGAAGCACTGGTGGGAGACTTGAATTTGGAAGTGAATTCACTCAGGAGCGAGGCAGGGCTTGCGGGTGTTCACTTCGCAGGGACAGATTGTAGTATACATGATGTGGTTCTGGAACCAGCGAATGAGGCAGCAGCTGCCCAATTTGGCACATGGCTTCTGGATCACAGCAAGAGACGCATTTCACTCGTGGCCAAGTTCTGCACTGTGGCTTGGGGATTTGTTTCTGGAAGTTCAAACTAGTGTGTTTTTTGAACCTTCTCAATGATTCCATAAGTTATGTTTTTAAAACATCATTGGTTTCTTAACAAGTGTTTTATTTTTCCTTCTTTATAATTGCATAGACACAGAATGCAGAGTGAGGTTGGCATCATTTGTTGCCTTCAGTGGAGCGGTTAATTAAAGGCCGTTGTACTTCCTAATGATACGTGGTGGGTCACATTCACAGGGACAGCTCTATTCAACATGCCTGGGCTGACTTTGACCCTTCACATCCACTCTCCATCATTCGCTAGCCTTCTCTGTCCTTGGACTGACTCATAGGAATGGTCTTCAGTACTTTTAGGGGAAGTTGTTCTTCTGATCCAAGTCTTTGGGTCAATGAATGAGTATTTATTTTAGCTTCCAAAGGTATCACATGCTCAGTCATTTCATGATGTCATGGAAAGTGACAGCATAACTTTCAAATTTTTACAATACTATGGGAACACCTGATTTATACAGATTGTCTGTACCTCTGTCCCTCATTAGGTTAGCATTCACGCTCTTTCAAAAGCGCCATAGTTGATACAATATTCCTACCTTTGGGGTGTCTTTCTCCTTAGAGTGTGGACTTTCCAAAGAGTAACATTTATTAGTTCCTTAGCGTACATACCTCACATTGGCCGTCTGAGTATTTACAGATCAAGGGCCACAAACAGAATGGTCCCTCTGGGGCGTTCTCTGCACTAAGTATCCATGTTTAAACCTCCAAGCTTTCCATTCTGAAGTTCTCTGTTGGGTAAGAGAATGTAAGGGAATGAAATAGCTGTCAACAACCGCAATTAAGTACAGGCTGTCTGCTTCTCTTCTCTCCTCTATCTGCATTACCTCCAGGAGTGCTTCCAGAATCCAGAACCGGTGCTGATGTTGCCCTGTCATGTAGCCTGATCCTTAGAGATCCATGAATTCTGTTTTCTGCCTAACGTGTAGAAAAGCTCTCTTGCCCTCACTGTAGTAGTAATAAAACAAAGACTTTTTCAAAAAGAAAATTTCTATTGGCCTTGAAGTTTATTATCTGTCTCTATATCTAGCTCTATTCAAGATCCACAGTATAGAATTTCTGAGTGGAACTCAGAAATCTTTTTAAACAAGTTTCTTAAATTATTCTGACACATTCCTTTGGCTGAATTTACTGACTGCATCTGCATCTATGAATAAGTTACTGATTACAAGAAGAAAAGGAGAAGGAGGAGGAGTCAAAATGAAAACACCCCAGCAGTTTGCGTATTTTATTTAGCAGTAGATTTAAGAGGGATTACATGAGTAATATACATTTTTTACTTTTTATGATTTTGCTATTTTCATCTTTCAGGATGGAAACTGTCTGATAAACTCACACAGATTCTATTAAATTTAGGAACTTACCACCAGGACTGGAAGACCAAGGGGAAAAACAAATTTAACATAATTTACAGAAAGAGAGAAGTCCAGAATTCTCACTAATTTAAGCGCAATTTGAACACCTTTGGCTAATTCAGTCTGTCTCACTCCTCTTAGTCCTCATCAGTTGAGAGGTGGTTAGTGGAAATGAAACAAAGATTTTCCAATTTCTGTCCTTAGGTAGACTTGGACTTGCCCTGCTTCCACAGCATTAGTGCTGGGGGTCTCTTTCAGCCTCTCTGGTGTTAGAACCTTCTCTGCAGCAGCCCTGGCTCCTCGGGTCCTACTCTGACCCTCGGACCTAAGAACTCTGCCTCTTCTTTTGCTTCTCTCCTGAAAGTATCTTTGACTTTGGGCTTCCTCACTCCTGTGCCATCTTCTCTATCTTATAAAGGGATCACTGTTTTTACCAGGTGTTCAAGTTCAGTTATTGGTTTCCTTATCTGGCATGATATCAGATTCCATCTTCCTCCTAAGTTTGGTATCAGCTCTTTGGTAATCAAAACATGATGCATTGTCCATAAGTGAAAATTTTCAGCTAGCATTAATTTCTCATTAACATCTCATGTGGGCAATATTCACATTTTCAGCTCAATTAAGAATCATATCTTTTCCCTGGTGTGGTGTCTGAAGCCTATAATCTCAACACTCAGGAGCCCGAGGCAAGAGGATCGCTGTGAGTTCGAGGCTAGCCTGGGCTACATAGTGAGTTCAAGGCCAGCCTGAAGTACATATAGCAAGACCTTGTCTCAAAAAAAAAATATCTTTCTAACTTCATTTCTCTGATTTCTTCCCAAATACTCATACTCCAGTTGTTTTCCTAATTTGTGTCTCCTTCTCCGCCTTAAGGACACAGACCATCCCAATGGGATGGTTTCATCTAGGTGGTTTACTGAGATTCACTCACACCTGCCGGTAAGGAAGCAAAGGTATGGATTTGGGGCGGGATATTCGGAGTGGCTGCCACTATAGTCATCTATATACAGGAAATCTCTGTTCGGAAGAACAAAACTTATAGAGTAACACTTGGAGCCATGTAACACCAAATGAGGCCTCAAGACTGCTTTCAGCACAGAGGTCTTGAGTTGTTATTGCGCGCTTGGGCGACTGTGCTCCTTTTAATCTTGATGCTCAAATGTTCTCCGCTGCAGTTTTATAGCTAGTGTTTCTTTGACTCAAAGGTCCTCTACACACCTGAGTTACCATTCCTCTGACAGCTTTGTAAGTGATCTAAGGGGCTCTCCTGCAGTCCAGACAGCTGCTTGAAAACGGAGAAGGCCAGTGTTCCTGACCAGCAGGGTAGCCGGGAGTTACTGTCGATTCTCAGGAGCCGGAGCACCTCTCCTAACACTTGCGTCGACCTAGTTCAAATCCATGGGTTTAAATGATGAGAGGAACTGTCCCATAGGAAGGGTGAAAAAGGGAAAATGGCGGGGGTATAAAAGGTCAGGTAGCCTGGTGTTTGAGACTCCTTGAGCAATTTCTCCCAGTATCACAGTCCAATTTCCCAATAGAATGCGGCATTCCCAGAACCACACTCTTCACTGACGCCGACCTCTGTCACCCTCAGCGCTTTGTGCTAAACACATATGGGTGAACGCAAATGACAGTTTCTGGGACTGCGTTTAATCCGCCCTCCTCTGAAGCTCCGTGTAGGTAACCACGCCTGCTTCGCGGAAACGCCAGGGGGCTCCGATTTGCAGCCAAGCCCTGCACTTCTGCGTTCGGGTTGCTGAGGCGGGACAAGCGCCCTCAGCCCATTTGCAGAGGCAACAAGACGGCCACCCTGCGACTCCAATGGGCGTCAAGCTCTTCCGGCTGAGCCCAACGGGCGTCCAGGCCCTGTGGTCTGGGTGGAGCAGCGAGCCAGGGGCTGCAGGTGCCCTAACCCCCCTAAGTGAGCGTCTGTCTTCTGCACTGTTTAAGTCCCTGCTGTGTTAGGGGTACCCACTGTGGGAAGCAAACAAAACATGTCAAAAGACACGGGGGAGAGGAGACAGACAAACAGACACACAGACAGACAGACAAGAGCGGCTTCCAAAGGGCGTGAGCCTCCCCGCCGGATCCCGCAGCCTGCAGGCCTGCGTTGCGCTCCCGTCCAGACTCAGGGCCCGAGACCGCGCCCCGCCGCCGCCGCACCCCGGGCTCCCCGCGCAGCCGGGCTTCAGCCCTCCGCGCGCTCCCAGGCCTCGCTTTCACTTTCGGTCCCGGGCGGCGAGGCCGGCGGCGGC